GTTCGTCGTTGCGATTCGTGACGCGTGTCTTTCTTCCTAGCGACTTGTCGACTCTTCGAGAATCTCATGACGTCACGTTCGCGCCGACCCGTTCGGCGCTCTCACGATTCGCAACGTTTCGCTGGCAGTTGCTTGCCCGAGAGCGACATCATTTGATGACGCGGACGAGTCGAGCTCTGACGGAAAGAGGGGCGTGTATTTTTTCCAAGCGCCTCTCTGCCGAGGCCTCTAGCATCTCGTGACCTCGTGTTAGGGTTGACCTGCTGGGCGCGTTCACACTTCACCGTGTTCCGCTGACAGCTGCTCTCTCGAGGGTATCGTCATTTAACGACGCGCCGACAGAGAGAGGTGTCTCGACCAGCAGCTACGAGCGGCTGGGGGAAAAGACGGAGTCGGAAATGATAGCTGCTATTTCTCCCCCTATTACGAGAATACATATCAGTTTCGCTTTCCCAGTCGAGTCCTGGTTTCTGTTGCTCAGAATTCTCATCATTTCACGATTTACTTCTTTCAGCGGCGGAGGCGATCGGACGTTCGCAGGCGTCCAGAGTTACGTCATCCTATCACCTGCGTTTCGAGGACTCGGGCGCTTGCCGTCAAGTTGTGGAGAAGGGAATGGATCACTTGCGTTCGATTCATAGCAACTATGGGAATCGGAAGTGTCGGAGGAAAAATGCGTGATGGAAAGTTGAGGCTTCACAGCTGAGAGAGAAAAAAAAAGAAATTAAACCGTGCTTCGTGTGCTCACTAGAACAGAACGATAACGAAGCTTGTCGACAGCCAACACTTCTTTCCTCGAAGCGGAACACTCAAATCATGATGGAAGATTTCCGTTGAAAGATAAGCCAGAAGAGACGAATTACATTGCCAGTTGCGAAGGCTAGTTCCACCCCCCCCCCCATCTATCTTCAGAAATGATAAAAGTATATCTAATATATGTAGACGATCGTGACTGACTGACTGACTGACGCTAATTCTAACCATGTTCTAGAAAAGTTAGAAATCTGAAACTTGATACACATGTACCTTTTGGGATGTAGAGTTCAGAAAAATCCGACTTTGGAGGTACATGCCCTGGGGGTACACATTTTGGGGGGAGAAGTTTTTAAATATATATTGTGACGGATGAGGATGGCATCGAGAGGATTGACTGGATGTCCCGGGTTCGGTGGTGCAGTGGTAGCACACCGGACCGGCAATCAGGAGGCCCGGATTCAATTCCCCGCCGTTCCTTGGCTTTCTCTCGGCCTCTCATGCCTTCCAAGTCCCGGTACTCATTCCCCCTCCGTAACAATATTTTTGCTTGAGTAAAATGGAGAGACATGGAAAGCTGAAACTTGACATGGACGTGCCTACCGAGACGATGAGTTCAGGAAAAATGAAAAATTTTAGATCCATGCCCTGGGGGCATATTTTTTGGGGCCGACGTTTTCAAGTAATTTTAGGAGGTACATGCCCTGGGGGTACACATTTTGGGGGGAGAAGTTTTTAAATATATATTGTGACGGATGAGAATGGCATCGAGAGGCTTGACTGCATGTCCCGGGTTCGGTGGTGCAGTGGTAGCACACCTGACCGGCAATCAGGAGGCCCGGGTTCAATTCCGGGCCGTTCCTTGGCTTTCTTTCGGCCCCTCATGCCTTCCAAGTCCCGTTACTCATTCCCCCTCCGTAACAATACTTTTGCTTGAGTAAAACGGAGAGACACGGAAAGCTGAAACCTGGCATGGACGTGCCTACAGAGACGATGAGTTCTGGAAAATTTTAGATCCATGCCCTGGGGCTTATTTTTCGGGAACGTCGTTTTCAAGTAATTTTTTTTTGTCCTGGCGTATTGAGCTAGTGTGGAAAGATGAAACTTGGTACATAACTACCTATTGGGATGCTGCGTGCAGAAAAATTCAGACTTTGGAAGTAAATGCCCCGGGGGGCACAAATTTCGAAGGGAGATGTTTTCAAATAATTTTTTTGCATCAGTTAAACTGATGAACATGGAAAGCTGAAACTTTGCATGAGTGTGACTACTGAGACAAAGAATTAAAGAAAAATGTTAAGTCTCGATACATCCCCTGGGGGAATTTTTTCGAGGGGCGATGTTTTAAAAAAAAAATTTTTGTTGTGGCGAATTGGACAGAAAGGGAAAGGTGAAACTTGGCACACGTATAAGTGACATGATATTATTGAGTTGAAGGAGTATTCAGCTTCATGGTGCATCCCCTCCGGGCACAGCTTTTGGGTGAGTCGCTTTTCCAAATACATTTTTTACCGCCAGCAAAAAGGGGAAACGTATAAGGCTAAAACTGGGTGGCATGGAGTTCCCTGAGTCTACATTTCAGAAGAAAAATTTTTTTTTTTTAACCCATCAGGGTACTTTTTTTATTATCCCATTTTCCTGGATTTTTTTTTTGACCCAACGAAACAGAGAGAAAATTTAAAATTCACTCAGAAGTACCTATTTGATGGCTGAGTTGTCCTTTTTAGGATGAAAACTTTATACAGGGGAATCACATCTAATATCCTCCCTTCATAAACAAAATGTATTCTCCACCCTTACAAAAAGGGACGCAAGAAAAGATTTCAAGATAGGCACACTAGAAATCAGAGAAGTAATGATTTTCGTCTTTTGTGACAAGACTTTCGTCCCTATATGTCACGCATTTCAATGGGGACGTACTTTAAATACGCAAAGAATAAATGAATTAATCACTATCCAAGGTAATGGAGCGCCGAAGGCGCGACCATAGTAAAAAAAAATCCTTGAAAGCATAGCACCAAAAGTGCGCGTTGAAAAGAGTGACTTTTTTTGGGGCCACCCTCTAGATGGTTTTACTCTACCACAGAGCCCTAGTTTCCATTTGCTTGTCTGCCATCTCGATCTGGCCGTCTGCTTGCCTGAACCCCTCTTCAAGGAAAGAAGAGACTTCCTTCTCGCTCAAGTGAATTTCTCGCAGCTCGTCCTCCCTGACAGGGTAGCAAATGTAATTCATGACATCAAGCCTGAGATAGCATATCTCTCCCTTCAAAACTCCCATCTAAGCGCGTGACAGTCAGTTCAATGAGCTCAGTTATGGTATCTTTCAATGTAAAAGTACCCACTACGAGGGCCATGCTATCGGTGACGGGGAAATCCATGCGAATACCAAAGGATGATAATTTATTTCTCAAGCTACAATTTCAATAAATCACCTTTCCCAACCCAGTGGGTACTCTAAAGGTAGAGAAGTACTGAGGTACGCACAGAGATATACCCCTGAGCTGCATTCATTTATCAAAGCGAAATCCATCGCTGAGGAATACTTTCATGAAGCATCCACCGGGACGAGGCATAGCTGCGCTCGCCTATTTCAGATAAGATGATGTGAGTAACAATCCGACTCTATTATTTTTCCATATGGGAGCATAGGACCCCTTGGACGGGACCTTCTCAAGGGATCCGATGGCAAGGAATATCTACCGGTAGGACCGGAAATAATTAGTTTCCCCCATAGGAGAAGGATTTGCTACTACCCTCCGAATCTTTCAGTCGTTAGCCATAAAGAGATCCCTGTAAATTCTTTACAAAACCTGTTCAATAATCTAGCACTGAGGTACCATAGAATATCCACCTGCAGATTTCACACATGAATTACACCTGCCGCGAATTTCAATGAGTTGACTGCTTATTAAATTCCAGGACAAGATCATCCAAAAAGTATTGATAATAAATCATAATCCGACGGACGGTGGTCTATAATCACCCAATGCCGTTGCAACATGAAAGATGCCAGAAGCTTCTCTGAAAGCTTCAGCTCAGATCCTGTCAACTCTTTGAAACAGCTTTTTCAGGCTATCACCCCGGAACAGAAAGAAGCAGAAATGGTAATGTTCATCATTACATTTCCAGTTTCCACGAATTAGTGCGAAGTACTTACATGGGCAAATAATAAATAAGTAAATTTAAGGGTCTTCAAGAAAGAACAGATAATTTTATTTGGCATAACTTTTATTAGCAGAAACTTTTAACCATTTTTCTTAATTCTTTAAAATAAACAAGATAGGTAATTTTTTCATGTAAAAAACTTTTCCTATATGTGCACCATCCACTTCGAGAACTTGTGCATTCGTGTTTTATAGTTCTGCATCGTTGCAACCAAAAGTTTTTCCGTAATGTGCATAATAATGCAACTGTGGATATTTAATTTTTCAGATCTTCAACTGTCCGTGGGTTATTCCTGTACCCTTTGTCTTTAAGGTACCTGCACAAAATAGTCACAGGGATTCGGATCTGGAGTATACGACAGTCAAGACCAACCGTGACCATGGCGCCAAGTACAACGACATGAAACCACTTGAATTTGGATGAAAGAATTTTGAAATCGGCTGATTGGCTTTCTTGGACTCCTCTCCATTGTTGCCTTGACATGTTCAATAATCGTCTAAGACTGATCCTATCGCTTCAAACTTTTTCACAAGATTTGTGCTAAAATTGATCCTGAAGGTCCTTTTCTTCAAATTTTGTTCGAAAATCCCTTTATACTTGCACTAAACTTTCACACAAGTAAAAACATTTCACAATAAAAACTCTATTGTAGGGGGCGCCATCTTGAAAATTGTCAACTAACAGTTGATATGGGCAAGACGAAAAAAAAACTCCCAGCATTTTCTGCTCCAGCGGTACCAAACTCAACATTATTTCTGTGAATTTTAGAAAATAAATAAAATGATCAGTCCTTTCTCGAACCACCTAGAGCTAGCAGAGGATGTAACTTATAATTAAGTTTTTCCTGGCCAAATCCATACCCAGCAGGTTCTTTACGGGACACCAACAACTTCCTAGTTACACCTACATATTTGTAGTTTCCAGCTCATTTGGGAGTATGGGTGGTATTGGGTTGGCCGGAAAGTTCTTGCAGTTTTCGCCTTTTCTCATTAGGAAGCCTCACGAATTTTCTCGCTTCGCCTATAAATAGTTTTCCTTCCTGCGAGCAGGTTCAGTGTATTTTCGATTCCTTACCGCCAAGTATGCGCCAGAAGTTCGACCTTGACCGTGACCACCTCCGCACCTGCCTCCTCTATGAGTTCCGTCTGGGAGAGAAGGCAGCCGACGCCCATCGCCGTCTGTGCCAGGCGTTTGGGGAAGGAGCCATCAGCGAGAAGACGTGCTTCGATCGGTTCGCTCGCTTCAAGTCCGGAAATTATAGTGTCGAAGACAAGCCGAGGTCGGGGCGCCCGTCGGAGTTGGATGATGAGGCGCTATTACAACTCGTGGAAGCCGATCCCAGCATGACCACTCGCGACATGGCCGCCGTCCTCTGGTACTCCCACTCCACCATCGAACACCGCCTGTCCACGATCGGGAAGGTCTCGAAGCTCAGTAGTTGGATACCCCATGCTTTGACACGGAAGGACCTCGACCAGCGTTCCGACATCTGTGCACTTCTCTCCCGTCGACGGCGCTTCGACTGGCTCGACGACGTCGTCACGGGGGATGAGAAGTGGGTGATGTACGCGAACCATACCCGCAAGCGTCAGTGGGTAGACGCCGATGAAGAGCCGCAGCCGGAGCCGAAAGGTGACCCGCACACCCGCAAGGTGATGCTCTCCGTATGGTGGGACGTGAAAGGTGTCGTGATGTTCGAGCTGCTTCCTCTCAACACCATCACGGCGACCTACTACTGCGACCGACTGGAGAGATTGAGTCAGAAACTCTCAACGGCTCGGCCGGGACGTGACAAAGTGCTGTTCCTCCACGACGATGCCCGGCCGCATACCGCAAAGATGACCCGGCTCAAACTCCTCGCCCTCGGATGGAGATTCTGCCGCACCCACCGTACTCCCTGGACCTTGCTCCGTCGGACTACCACCTTTTCTGCGGCCTGCAGAACCGCCTCAAAGAGAAAAAGTTCGACGACGACGAATGCTACTTGCGACAGTTCTTTGAGTCTCAGTCCCCATCGTTCTACCACAGCGGAATCCATACCCTGGCTGGAAGGTGGAGACATGTAGTGGGACACAATGGTGCTTACATTGTTGACTGATATTGTATAGTTGCTGAATGAAATTGTTTTCTCAAATATTGTCTGAAACTGCAAGAACTTTCCGGCCAACCCAATACCTGCAATTTCACGAAGTGATAGAACTGGCGGTGGACCCTCTCGGAGTATCAGCGCGAGACAATGGATGAAGAATTCTGTCGAACATAGGTCATTCCATTTATTTGTAATCCTCTCTTGGCGAGTTCTGCGACTGTCTATGCAGCCCTTGAAAGTCGGATTATCGACTTACTCATGTAGCATGGAGCCTTATCTTGCATGTGTTAAACTCAGTTGCTGTAATTCCATAAAGCAGCGCATGGATATACAGAGTGGTGCAAAAGTCACTATACAGTTGTTGAATATAGATAAAGGTTTAATTTCTGACGTCATATTGCCCGTTGTTTACAAGAAAAGCAATGTTATTTCAAAAGCTACCAGCTTCATCCAGCAGTATTACTCTGAAACAAAGAGGGACCAAATTAGCAAAACAGCTACTTTCAATATACAAGAACTGCATAGCAACTTTTGTCCCACCTTGTGTTTCCCTTTGGTTGGTTTCCCTCCAATAGGAAGCCACTATGCTATTATTGGATTGAAGTCGCATTCGANAACAGAATCCATTGTGCTTCACCGGTACACTGCAGCGCTATACTCATCGAGATGGTACACGAACGCTGGCATAAATATCGGCAAAACATGCCCCATCCATTGTCTGGAACCGACACCTTTTTCAGCTTCTGTTAGACATCGGTTAGACAATGGTTAAAGGAAGATAGCGTTCATGCAATCCATTTTTGGCCTTGGACATCGGTTAACCGATGACTTTCGAAAAATACCGGAAAAACATCGTTCATGCAATCGGCCCTTTGAGTCTCAGCCACCATCGTTCTACCACGGCGGAATTCATTCCCTGGCTGGAAGGAGGAGACATGTAGTGGAACACAATGGTGCTTACATTGTTGACTGACATTGTATAGTTGCTGAACAAAATTTTTTTCTCAAATATTGTCTCAAACTGCAAGAACTTTCTGGCCAACCCAATACCTGCAGTCACAGCTACCAACTACTCAGAAACTCCGGAACCAGAACCGGAAACCAGCACGATCCTCCAATTGAAAAAGGTCTGAGTCTAAATCTGTATTCCAGTTACTTCCTAATCTGGGCACAAACAGGAAATAGTTAATGGTATCCATTTTGGTCTAGCTGAAAATCAGCCCAAGGTTCATCATACAGTTGCTTTCCAATTGGAATGAGTCTAAATTTGCAGGTAATACTCAAGTGGAAATCCCTCCTAAGGGGTGCACTCGGCAGTTTGAAAACGACAGCTTATGCCAAGAAAGTAAAAATTCAACTAATTCAGGATTATAGGTTTGGCCTCGTAATATTGATACTCTCTTTTATCAGTTGTGGTACGTGAACCAATATAGTCATCCCCCGACTTGCGTCGTCTCGACTTACGTCGTTCCCCCCCAGATCCAATATATTAAGCCAAGAGCACAATTCGTACCTACGTTGTATTACGTTGTCCTTACGTCGTCCATGAATTGGTATCTCAACTGCGAGTAGTCAGCAACACCGTACTGTCTCGACTAACGTCGCCGGTCTCGGAGCCAATTACGACGTAACTTCGGGGGATGACTACATATTGAAAGGATTACAAGTCCCCACTTTCTACTAACGTATTTTGCTAACGTAATTTTCCTAAGTTCGACACTCCCCTCAGGGTACGTTCGATTCCTCTAGCTAGATGCCATGACACAATTGAGCCAATAACTTACGGTCGTGTGGTAGGATCAAAGAGGCAAGCAAAATGGAAATCATGTGGAAAAGAAGGCCTAGAACTTGGAATGAGGGGTACTTCCGAGTGCAGTTCGAAAACATTAGCGGAGACATTAGTCCCAGAGAAGCACAACTTCAAACATTGACATACGTTAATTCCTATAGTCAAGTCCAGAGGTCCTTTCACATTCCTTTCCAGTCATGGTAAATACTACAAGGAGCGGGTGAATAAGCAAACTTCCAGAAACACTGACCTCTCTTTTACTCTCCCCTTTCCCACTTACTTTACTCTCTGAAAAATCGTATGCATGGCAAACAATTTGAGGAAATTATTAACATTCAGGTTTTCTCAAGTCAGTTAATTCCTTTCAAACATGACGTCAGTAAATTTTTTTTTTGCATTTGATTTCTGCGTTATAATACAGTCATTGCTTACCCCTACTCCTCGTCACTCTTCATCCAAATAGTACGGTAGAGACGAAAAGCATACTATACTGAAATTAGAAGCGTGGACTATCGAACTAAGGCACAATGCAATTCGTACACATGAGATTCGTCCCGGCTGTTGCATCAACCGGATAAACATGTGCATTCACCAGCCAATTCCTCAAGATCCGTAGCATAAGAGGATGCCAAAAGGGGCAACATGGCATTGAGAGGGTAAAACCAGAGCGTAACGGCTACCCTACCAAAATTTTGGCAACGTTGAAGATGTCACTATCCTGGTCAACCTTCCGTAGTATAAATAAATGTATACCTCGGGAGAATGCCACTCCCCATCTCCGCATGTTGCTGCGTCAACTTTCTATAAATAGCTATGGAATAGGTAATATGTGCAGCCTTCATCTGAGGGCAGTTCATATTGCCATATGAGAGCTAACTCTTACCGGTTTTCCACAGGAATGCCGGATATTAACGCTGGATGATGAAATGGGTTAAATCGGCAAGATGGGATTATAGAGGTAGTACATCCCACACACTTGTGGCTATAAGGTGCATAGCGATCGCCAAATTAAGACAGTATTTCGAAACACATCAACAGGGGACAGGCAGGAACATGAGAGCCTGTTCTGCTTTTTTAGGTTGACAAATACTTTTTTTTAATTATCAATTCACCTCAATTTCATCGGGTTACTCTTTCTGCTCTATCTACAGAACTTCGCAAAAATCCAAACAAATTTAAGAAATTGAAAATTAAAGCAGACAATTTTTCATCCATAAGTGGACTCAACCCAAGTTGCCAGTAAGATTCAAATAAGAAGGGTTAAACTCTCTTCACTCCAAGAAATGGATTGATGGCCTATCTAGCCAATGCTCATGATAGCAACTTCTGGTTGGAAGGATGAACATAATGCCATAAACATGTTGGGATTCCATAAATAAAAGTAAAAATAACAATTGGGATGATTACAAAGGAATCACTTTTCAAAATAAACATGCAATCCCCAGTAACCTAACCCTTTCCTTCACCCAAATTGATCTGTTTGGTCATGAGTACTGTATATTTCATGTAAACATACCAACTGTAATTTCAGAGCAAACCATAAAATGATGATATGGCTTCTCCAACTCCAGCAGAACTCTCTCCACATTAACCACAGAGTATGGAGGGGATGTGAGGATGAGGTTGTGAATAGTTGAGGGATCCATTGTTCTACTTAACCCTCCCTGGCTGTCAGCTCAAAAATAACATGAAGAGTATTACGTTTCAACATTAGCAAGAATGCAGATGAAGTCCTTCAGTTCAGCAACTGATAGCATTTTGTACAGAACCAGTGGTTTTGAATTTCTTCATCAGACCTGTTAATGCTTTGTAGCCAGGTAAAAAAGTCTGGGAATCTTTGGTGAAAGCAGCATTTTTGGTGATTTTTTTTTAAATGTAGGTGTGAGATCCTGTTCTGTGATCAATTACTTTATTGTTCACCAATGCCTTTAAGAAAAATATGTTTTAGTTGTTCTTACACTAAATTTGTCGAATCTTTCTGTCCCCAATAGAATGCATTTTACGAAAGTGTAAAATGCTTCCCTTCTTTGTGGACCATCCTTTACAAGGAAGTGCCAAAATGCCTGCATACAGATGTTTGCTGACTGCAACCAGGACTTAGCAGAACAATTGATATGGTTTGCAACATGATAATGCACTGGAGCAGAAGTCATTTATAGATAAATCATCCTGATAATTCAAACTAAATTAAATTAGACACAATAGCACAATTCAAGGAATTTGCCAAAAAAGGGCTATAATTATGCTTCCAGCTGTCACAATAACCTTGGCAATGGTGAATTGATATTTCAGTAAACTACTTGGAAGAAGTTGGGAGTTCACTTATGCAACCATAATTAGCTCATTCTCTAGATCTGACAAAGTCAAGACATTCCAGATAATTGCTAAGCTGCCTGCCCATGCCCAGGTATGAATTCAGATAAACCTTAAAAAAAGAAATTGGAAACTCTTTGATCTGCCCTTGAATAAGATGGTTGTGGTATAAATAC